GACCGGTCAGGTGCTCCCTACCTGACTGGTCAGGTGACCGGTCAGGTGGTTGGTTAGGTGACCGGTCAGGTGCTCCCTACCTGACTGGTCAAGTGACTGGTCAGGTGCTCCTTACCTGACTGGTCAGGTGACCGGTCAGGCGGTTAGTTAGGCGACCGGTCAGGTGCTCCCTACCTGACTGGTCAGGTGACCGGTCAGATGGTTGGTTAGGTGACCGGTCAGGTGCTCCCTACCTGACTGGTCAAGTGACTGGTCAGGTGCTCCTTACCTGACTGGTCAGGTGACCGGTCAGGCGGTTAGTTAGGCGACCGGTCAGGTGCTCCCTACCTGACTGGTCAGGTGACCGGTCAGGTGGTTGGTTAGGTGACCGGTCAGGTGCTCCCTACCTGACTGGTCAAGTGACTGGTCAGGTGCTCCTTACCTGACTGGTCAGTTGACCGGTCAGGTGGTTAGTTAGGCCAGTGTTTTTCAACCACTGTGCCTCGGCACACTAGTGTGCCACGAGTGATGGTCAGGTTTGCCGTAGAAAATCATCCTATTTCACCTAATTGGTCTAAAAAAAAATGTTGATAAGGAATTAATTTTCTGCAAATAATATGCCATTTTTGAGTGTGTGTGCTTAACTAGTGACGTGGTGGCGTAATCATGTAATTCCCTATGACTAGATTTTGTATTTAATTTTGCATATTGAAGTGGACACGTTAAGTGCAATTTGAAAGATGAAATATAAAATATGATAAAAATACATTTTTGTGTTTATTTGATTCTTATTCAAGACACTTAAGATAAGATAAGAATACAATAAGAATAACTATAGTGTTACTATAGGCGGCTACAGATTTGTTTAACATTTTTGGTTGGTGGTGTGCCTCGAGATTTCTTCAATGAAAAACTGTACCTTGGCTCAAAAAAAGTTGAAAAACACTGAGTTAGGCGACCGGTCAGGTGCTCCCTACCTGACTGGTCAGGTGACCGGTCAGGTTGTTAGTCAGGCGACCGGTCAGGTGCTCCCTACCTGACTGCGGCCGCTGCCT